TAGTCGCGGAGCGGTGGAATCGGGATGCCGCCCGCTCGTTGCACGTTTTGCCGTCGTCCTGTAGTTAAAGGTCGCAAGGCTTTACGAAGTAGAATTCCTTCAGCCGCTTGGGCCCAGAGTTTTGTATTCCTCTGTTTTATTCCTCTTTTTCTGAAGTTTCCCTGCCGTGTTTTACCTTTTTTGTAAAAAGTCAAAATGGTGGATGTTTGACTTCTTTAATATGGCTGTGCTGCTAGGAAGTTATTTTGAATCACGCGTGCTTCCTTCATCTTTCCGAAAATACCAGTTCGTTCTTGTCTTCATGGGCTGCTTCATGCATCCTTACTCATTTTTTTCTTTCCTTCACAGGAACGGGAGCTTAAAGCTGCTGCTGACAGTGTGTTATCTGAAGTAAGGAAGAAACAAGCTGACACAAAGAGAATGGTAGACATCCTACGCGCTTTAGAAAAGCTCAGGAAACTGAGAAAAGAGGCTGCTGGAAGGAAAGGTAAATTATGAGATGTTAACGAACCTTTTGTGGAAACCCACAGGAAATAACACGGTGTGCACTGACAAGGTACAGCTTGAAAAGAGCTGCTTCCTTATTAGTGGTTTTAATCACATTAGTATGCAAAGATATCTATAGAAGATCTGAATAACAAAGAGAATACAATGGTTGTGTTCCTTGATTTCCAAGCTCTTTCTTGATAAAAGAAATTTTACTGCAAGATCGTTCTTGGCGAGGTTAAGCTTATGCTTTTGAGATTTTATGCATTTTAGATTTTGCAAATCCACTCTTAAGTCTGGTAACAAAGCTGCTTCTGAATTTGAAAGTTCTAGCTCAATTCTCTTTCTGTCTAGGTGTTTGTCCTCCCCCCTCAGCAGATGAAGCATTTGAAAATCAAGTGGAGAGTCTCAGAACATTGCTCAAAAATCGTACAGAACTATATGAAGCTGAAGAGCGGGCACTAAGAGTAATGTTGGAGGGAGAACAGGAAGAAGAAAGGAAGAGAGAAATGGAAAAGAAACAGAAGAAGGAAAGGGAAAAACTTCTACAGCAAAAACGTGAAATCGATTCCAAATTGTTTGGGGATCCAGGTAAACTCTGCATGTTGAGTTAATTGTTTTTATTTTTTTCACCTTTTAGGAGCTAAAGTTAAGATGCAAACATGAATTAGAGGAGAAAGAAGTCATCTGCTGGAATAACTTATGTTCCGAGGAAAAGAGAAGATAACCCCAGCGAAAGAGTTTAACTGATTTTAACAAATTGTTTAATGTGATGTAAGAAGAGCTGTTAGCTATTCAGTACAGACTGCAGAGTATCAATACTATCTCAGGCTGGTTTCATAACTTTTAGCAAGAAGAGATTGCAGATTAAGCTAAATTTGGAATAAATAGAATAGGTAGGAGACTTCCAGCACCCAAGAGATACTTTATTCTGGTGATTCGAGAAGTGTGAACTGGGTAATCTGTGAAGATTTAGTATCCTTATGTTCCCCTTTTTAGAGGATGGAGACAGGAAAAGTTTTGTTACTCTTGACTTCTCTATGGCAGTACTGATAATGATGATAATGATGTGGAAAGCACATAAATAATCCTTAATATATTATCTAGGAAAATTGTTTTAAGTGTTAGCTGGGGAGTGGCATATAAGTTGGCACGTTTTGGGCTTCTAAGACTTACTGGAATTGAAAGTCTCTGTTACTGAACAATTTCTATGTCTATTTTAACAGATGAATTTCCTCTAACCCATCTATTGCAACCCTTCAGAGACTATTACTTACAAGCTGAGCATTCTGTACCCGCTCTAATCCAGATCAGGTAAAAACAAACAAAATATTTTATTATCTGAGATGACAACTGTCATCTGCTGAGATTGTAAAATTATAGTCCTTTTTGGTTCCTTAACTTCCAAATATATTTATAAGTGATGCATTCTTTCCCTGTTTTTTCAGCCAAGTGCACTCTGATTCTAGCTTGATAAAGGTGTGTCCAACAGACTCCACTGTGAGGCAGAGTGCACTTCCGTGTATCAGCATATGTTTCATATGGCTGCATTTAATTTTTTACGTATGTGTTTTGGAAAAATGGTTTAGAGTGCAGTTTGTAGTGGATTTGCATACTGATCGGTATGAAAAGAATATATATGTGTGGATATATAATGAATCTTATTTCTGAAGTGGAATTGGACTGGATATCCTCTCACACACCACTCTTTGCGTTGCAGGCATTTTTTTTTGTTGCCTGCTGATCACCCTGAAGGAAGCTGCATCCCTCCAGGATGGGTTCTTCCGAGTCTGCCTACAAATGACACTTGGGCCACTGCTGTCAGATAACTCACCAAGAAATCATTTTTAACACTGTAGCAATGTTTCATTGTAGTTGTGTGCGTGTATGTGAGAGGAAAGAGGGTCCAAAGAGGAAGTAACGTCTTTGGGTCCTGTTTCTGGTTGTTGAGTGTGTAGCCCGGTACTGGCATTCCTTGAATAAAACTGTTAAAGAAATGCTTTTGCCTTCTGAATCTGCAGGGAAATATCTGAACAAGCACAAAGTTGTTAGACATCTTGTGGTATGGAGTTATAATCCTGCTATGAGTTTTGCTAACAACTCTAAGTCTTAATAAAGTAACACTGCTGACGAGATTGTTTGTACCAATATTAGCATACTATTTTTAGTCACTTTTATTTTTATAAGCCTAAATCAAGATTACGAAATCTCCAGAAGAAAAAAAAAACATTAATAAGAATGATATTTTTCTTATTAAATGAAGCATGTCAAGCATCGCTGTCAGAATAATTTCTGTGTTTTTGCGAGTAGGAAGGAACATATTACAAGTTGAAACAAATCCTTAAAAAACAAGCAAGACAGTTTTTTTTTTTTTTAAGCTCAGTTTTTATCAGCTGTTGACATTTTGCTTTTGTGGACTAAAACTGGTACCACAGCATGGAAACAATTTCCTGTCATGTTGAAATAGGTCAGATAGCCATGTGAATATATATAAATTTGATAAATAAGCCTACTTGGAAAAAAAAAAACATAAAAAGCTGAAATCTAACTTAATCCAATTGTTTTTGCCTATATATAATACTTATGTGCAGTATATGTAATATATAATATAGCTATTTTTCTATAGAGACAGATCATTTATACATGATTTTAAAAAATGCAGCTCAGTTTTTGTAAGCTGATCTTTTTTGTACTGAATAAATAGAAAAAAATTGTTTATTCATTTATTTATTTATTTATTGTTAGAAGCGTCTTTGCTCCAAGGGAGAAATTCTTTGTAGTACTTGGCATCAAACATGACCTGTACTGTCTGGAGAGCTGCAGGCAAAAGGTTTGTGCAAAGGAGCTTCTGCCTCTCCCAAGGCGTCAGAGGGTTCTGATTTCAAAGCCTTCCACGTTCCGGCCAGCTCGCTTAAAACAGGGATGGACCATATGGTTTGGGGGCTTTTTATGTCTATGCAGATTGCAGTGGAATTTTTCCAGAGATGCAGTCATTCTTCTAGCTTAGCCTTAACGTGTGGGAATGGATTGAATCTTACGCACTCCCTACCTCTTAGCATTGCAACACCAATTCACTGAGGAGGCAACACAAGATTGCCTACTCTGAGCTGATAAATTCAACACCTTTAACTGGGTTTTGTATGTAACGTTCATAGTTTCTTGGCCGAACCTTTGCAGTGGTTTCTCTTAATAAGAGCACACTAACTAGTAATTTCTGAAAGAATTAGAATTTGTCTGAGAATGCCGAAGTGTGCAGGTCTTGCTCTCGTGTGTATTGCCTACCTCTAAGTATCAGAAAATACAGCTTACAGTGAACTACTTAAAGACGGGGGTTCTGGTTCACTTGTCTGTACGTTCTTCCCATCCATATCCCACCTCTTTAGCTTTTTGATACCCTCAGAACAGTTATGACTAGATCAGGTCTTACTTGATGAAGAGCAAAAATTCAAATAGTGCAAAGACAATTGCAGAAACAACACTTTCAACTCAGAAAGCTTAGTGTCCAGAGGATGCCCTGCTTAAATATTAGGCTGCTTATCCCATCAGCATGTCTGATGAGACAGGCTAACTACTTAAGCTGCTATAATCTTAAAACGTAAGTCAGTCTGCAGAAACGTAAGTCAGATGCTTGTCTGACTGTGCAAGAATTTAAAGAACTGGATAAGCAGCCAGTGTGAAAGCAGCACTGCTCTACCATGTGAAAAAAGGCACATTACTTCATCTAAAGGTAAGGATAACTTTATATTGTTAATAAAAATAAGACTTGAAAATGCCAGCTAATTAAGCCAATTCAGGTATACTTCAATCTCACAAGCTTTGTAAGGTTTATTTTAAATATTTGCTGTTGCCTAATGACTTTCTTATTAAAAATACAGAGCATTTTAATGCAAAACATGTTGAGGCCACAGATGAAAGAAGAATGTTTAAAATCTCAAATAGCGGAAAGATATGATATGTGCGATGGTGTACTGATTCTTTAAAAACTTATATTCTAATTTAATATTTGTCTTAACATTTATATTTGTCCAAGTATAGTAAGATACTTCCTATTATTTTAAATTTAAAAAAACACTGTAACCCAAAAGACAAGAAGGGGTTGATACGAGTTTCCAAGTCTCATTTGCATCCTCTTCCTCCACTTGTCGCTGTGCAGTTTAGGTTGTCATGCTTGTAAGGCGCACCCTGTTCCTGATACCTATTTGTGTGTTTGTCACCCGGTATCTTTACAGTGAGGTTGGCCAGAGCTGGTGTGAAGCCGTAACTGAGCTGATGAGGTTGGAGCCCTTGCAGAAGTTACTTTCTGGTATAAGTTAGTGTTTACCAGTGACTGCCTTTTATGCTTGTCCATTAGCATTACCGTAGTCATGACTCCTCACCCCAAAGTAATTTTTTTTTTTTCCCCCTAAATGGCTGTTTTGGGAATTAGTGTTTGTGGGCGCTTTTCTAACCACAATATTTATTCAATGAAATACAGTAAGATAACACAGTACAGTAACTAAAGAGCGGTTGAAGTTACCGAGGTATAGGTTATTCTGTTTCCCTATGGGGACAGCTGGACTTTGATGTGGGTTTAACGCTGCTGACATTGGACTCTAAAGAAAGTACGGCTTTGTGCCTGTAAACAAGCCTGTGTCTGTTGGAAACTTTAGTATAACAAGTATTTCAGATCTGTCAACACTGAATTTTGTCTTTGCTTCAGAGCAACTTCAGATATATTCACTACTACCTGTCTTCATGCCTCAAAGTCACATTTAAAAACAAGCAAATCTGTTTTTAGGAGACGGACGACAAGATCTTGCTTTCCTTTGCACCTGATGACCATTGGCAGTGACAGATTCGGCGCAGCTGTTGACAAGTGTTAGTCACTTTATACCCTCCACTACCCGGATGGGCTTTTTCTCTTGCAGGCGGTGTCTGCACGGTGGCGTCAATGAGTTGGGGAAAACTGGGGGAAGGTGGCCTCCGTTGCAGATGTTGTCACACGTGTTCTTCCTCAGCGCTTGCGTGGATTGTAACGTACGCTGAGCCCTCTTACGTTTGAAAGCAGATGGCCTAGGTCTGTGCAGGGCTCGGACACGTTGCGTACGTAACGCATTAACAAAAGTACACGTGCAGGACTAGCAAAGCTGGTCATTGTCTCTTTGGCTGCGCTACAGCGTTGGGTATTAAGTGACCCCAGCATAAGCAGCCGAGTGACAACTCTTCTGTGAATTTGATAAGAGCGACTGAGTTGCACCGAGCAGTCGCGTGTTAGACTTAATTTATAGGCTAGAAGCTGCTTGTTGCCTCCTTCCCGAAGGTAAGGAACCGAGTGTCCCAAATACGGTTTCCCATTTTAGATCCTTATTTTCAGAT